CACTAAATGTTACTGGTATTTTATGTCAATTGTGTCAGTTTTAACTGAGTTTATGGGGTTAGGTGGGTTTGAAATTTTCCAAAAATCGATTTTTTTTTGTTTGCTTTATTTAATTCTACAATACCTCCAGAATATAGTCCTAAATTTTAAAGTTGATCTGAGTAATAATTTCAGAGATACAGCTTTGAGAACTTGTGCACTCAAGGCTAGCTGCGCTAAGTGCCCTGTCTTTAAACGCGTTTTTCTCGAAACTGTGTTTTTGAAGTCGGTGGACACGATTTTTCGAAAAGTTATCGACCGATTTAGTTCGTATTGTGTACACGTTTTTTAAATAATATTATCTAGTTATTGAACGAGGGATTTGTTCTTGTTTCATTACAACTTATTTTTCTGACCAAAAAATGCCGTAAATTTTACGACATTTTGAGATTTTTTGATCAAAGTCCGAGAAAAAAAGGACAATTTTAATATTTTTGTATTTCCTACGTTCAAAAACGAGATTTAGATATGTACTAACAGAATATGCTTAGTTTTTTTAATTTTATATGAACCAATAATAAGTTATGTTGTCCACGGCGAGAGCACTTTTTTGAGAGACACCCAGGGAAATGCGGTTTCAACGGCGGTATATTCAACATTTTTGTATCGAAATTTCAGGAGATATTGTTCGAATATATACCTTTGATATAACATATTAAATTTTTCAAATATATGATCGCTTGTATTAAAAAAAAAATCGTAAAAATACCTTTTTTTGTACCTCGAAACACACTTAACTCCTTATTCCAGATTTGCTCTTACAATACAACCATATGGTATTTGTTTAAAGAATTGCAAGTCATTCTGATTTCAACACTGTTTTTGGATTACCCTATCTAACATAGTTGACCCATTTTAAATGTATGTATAAGTTTCGAGAAAAGTCACCAAAATATTTTTTTGTCTAAAGGGCTAAAGACAAAGAATTATAATTGCTGGTGGTCTGTCCTTGAACTAAAACTGAGGTGTTGGTGTGAAAACTAAGTTAAGCTGTTCCCTGGAATAGAGCTTTCAAATCAAGATTTCAGCTAGAGTCACTTAAAACATGGAAAAACTTTAGAGCATCGATATATTTGCGCTGTACCTTTAGATGGGAGGGATTTAGAATCTTTGTGTCGAGGTGTGAGTGATCAGAGGCGCTGTCTTTTCACTATCTCGCCTTTCAGCTATGACTGCGTTAAACGGAGGTTGATTCGAACTCCCGTTACTCCGTGACGTACGCGGTGTTAAAATCTTTTTGTCTCTCAAACCCGGGGAAAGCACTGCTGTTTATAACCTTGTTACGAGCTGGCTTTTCAGCTTTCCGAGCATTATTTTTATCTCGAGGTGCCTTAAGTACCACTTCAGACTGGTACCGCTCATACCCCTCCTGCTTAGGTCATCTTGTCCTCCGGGACAGCCAGCTGCTGCAGTCTACCTAATCTCTTCCTCTTCCTTCTACCAGCACCTTACTGAACTTGCTGGGGAGAGTGCTGCATGAGATCATGTCAACATCACCATCCCTGTCACGGCTCTGATCATAGAGCGTCCAGAAAGCTAAAATTTCCTCTGGTTCCTGGACCAAGAGAGGTCCTGTCCTGTCTGTCTTTGTTTTTAAATATTGATTCATATTTTTCTTACGATCCTTGGTTGACGGTAATCTGCAAGCAGTTCACATTTATTGGCCGGATAAAAATCGGGTTCCGTTACGGTTACTTTTGCGATGTTGTGATTTTCAAATTCTTATATGGAAAACTTATGTCTCATAACGAGCGTATATCTTTTACCATAGGGAAAGACCATATCTCTTTGAAAAGTATGAATAATCGTAGACATGCTTCGTGTTAAAGAGCATAATAAATTGCTAACTTTTGTTTATAGAGAAATAATCAGTAAAGCCAGCAAGCTCTGGATCAAATACACAAACTTTTATCCATGTGGTGTCATTTTTAGAAGCAGATTCGGATAAGTAATATTTTGATCCCTTATTATGTTTTCTTTAAGCTTATTTCGTTTCCACTGTTTACTGCTCAACACACTAAGACATATCTTAACTGAGAGCAAACGTTAAACAGTTAAACCACAAGAACATATATTTGTCATGTTGAATTTATAATAGCTGCAATTTTCGGTTCCAAATAGTACACCCGCCACCACTGTTCCGTTTCACCTTCACTTGTGTAAACAAAAACCGTGAGCATTGCCCTACCAAAGTGCTTCGCATCGGTTTACAAGATGGAAATTAAAAATTAAAAGTATATATTAATATGCCCACAGTGTTAGTCATATTATTACAAGCGCGCTTGAAAAAAAATTATGATTTTTTTTGTAATTTTTTCCGGATAATTTTATTACTTTTATATAATAAATTATAGTGAAGTAAGTAGAACTATAGTTTTAGGCTTCCTAACCACTGCAGCGTATTCCAAAGGAAGTAGCTGACATTGTGGTAGCAGAGATCTACTGCTCCATAGCACAGCCTTCTTCAGAGTGGTGACAATCCACTTCGGTAGTAGGCGACATTGGCCTTGAGTTCGCTGACGTCTGCTGAAGGGATGTCTAGATTCCTTATCTCTAGCATCAAGTTACTTTAGGATTAGATTGGTTTGGATGCCTGGCCACAGCGAAATTCCAGGAAACTGTAAAGCTGACGAGGTTGCTAGGATAAGTACCTCAGTCTCTGTAACGGCAGAATGTGAAAGAGTAAGAGAGAGAGCCAACTCCGTTGGCTTTTGATGTTTGCTACTGAACCGCTGGGTAAAACAAGCGCAGGTCACCTACCAACAGCTGTGCAGTCGCCAGGTCCTTCTGGCCTGTGGTAAATCGGAAGAGGACTACGCAGCTATTCACTCTTAGCAAGGTTTACGTTCCCATGCTTACAGGAGTTTTAATTAGGCACGGTCCAATCGGGATTCATGCAGTAAGATCGAAAATCTTACTGGACGCCTGCTGTCTCAACTGTTTGGAAAAAGATGAGATAAAAACCTTGCAACACTTTCACCTAGACTCTCATACACTTAGACAGGGAGGTATTTTAGCAAAAATGTACCTAAAATACCTTAACAGATTTGTGAAAGGTTCAGAGCGCTTCGCTATAGGTAATATTTATCTATCTTGGCTCCACAAAGGACTGAATGAAAAGTCTCAGTGTGATTCCTACACAACGTTGAGGAATCAGCCATCTAACCTAACCTAATCTTACATAATACCAGTAGTGGCCTCTATGTGTCAGCCTGGAACTTTTCAGTCCACCTGTAAAATACTCGAAATACTTCATATTAATAAAAATATAACCATGCCAAAAAACATCTCTTTCAATCAAGGTTATTTGCTAGGTTTGGAACCCGTCACGTAAAAAACGCCCCCAACGCTGTCTAAAAGTTCCGTCAGGATCGGGAAGGACTTCGCCGAGACTTTCTATAGGTATCGTATGACTTCTTCAAATTACTGATGGCGAAAATAATTCGAGCTGCAGAGCTGAATCGAGAAGGTACAATCTTCTATAAGAGTGTGGAGCTGCTGACGTACGGCGATGAAATTGATATCAATGATAATGGATAAGGAAGCGAATGAAATGGTAGTCTGTCATTAAACAAACAGTCGTCGCACTCGCAGCTAAAACTTTGAAGTCGTAGATAATTTCGTCTATCGTAAAGTCCGCTCTTGACGATGACGACATCTGTTGAGTCGACGTTACGAGCTTTCGCGAGAAAGGTCCTGCGAAAGATTTATGGTCCTTTAATAGATGAAAACACTCCAACTCTGAAAGTATTCGACGCACTATTCGCCAGGGAAAGCAGAGGAACAGAAAGATCTCCACTCCGTTGGAAGGGCCAGGTGAAGAAGAAACCACTGGCGCGCTGTTGTTAACTCGTCTATAATCGCGTAGCGGTATCTATGCCAGTAAGGAAGAAAAGAAAAAAAATATAACTATATGAACTTTGATAAAAAAAATTAGCAAACATGTTAACTTTGCAGGGTTGCCAGCTGTTATATTCCAGATAAAAAATTTGCAGGTATTTTGCTTAGTTTTTGATGCGATAATAATTAATTACGGTCGATTCGTATTACGTACTCGTATATAACTACCATTTGTTATGACACATTTATGAGTGGGAAAAATCTCTAATCAATTTTTAATTTTAAATTATTTACCTGTGTGAGCGTGCGCAAATTAGTATCAAAAGTCTGATAAGCCATTTAGGTGAGCAGTTTGTTCAAAACCATTAGTAATTACATAGTATGTGAACCACTTAGAATTGAACCGTTAACTATATATATTTTTGCAACAATAGACTTTTCTCTTTCGAACATTTTCCAACACGCTGCCGCTCTCGTCAACGGCGGCGCAGTTAGTCTTCGTTTTTGCGCTCTTACGACTTAATCGAGTGATATCTTATCAGTGTCAAGCTCCAGACTGATAACGTTATTGCCTGGGAATTTATTTAGTTGTTAGTTTCATTCGATTGCATGTGTGTACATATTTTTGTCTTAAGCGCTATGGCTCTCGTTTAAATACAAGTACAAAATCACTTATTTTTTACAATGTCTCTAAGCAGCCGAAGTAATGCCAAAATGCATACATACACACATAGTATTTTTTATATATGTAAAATTGATATGAAATTCACATAGATACTTCTCCCGCTTGCTGTTCTAGTGAGCGTTATTGGACTGCTATTAATTTTTAAATACCCGAGGATTTTCGCTCATTTTAAATAGTCTTTGTCGTGGGTACTGATCAGTCAACTATCAACGTCGCTATCAACGCTCGCTCAACTATTGACCTGTTCGAAAATTGTTATTTTTTTCCTTCCCGAATATTCAATTCTATAAATTGTGAAATTAAAAATAAATTCCTCTAAGAGAAATCACCGCTAGAAAGGTGTATGTGAAAAACGGGGCCTATTGGGCTGATTAAAGTGTAGTGTTTTTAGTGTTGACAGAGACAACAAAGACCAAGAAAAAAGAAAAAACAAAAAAAAAAAGCAAGCGAAAAAAGCATTATAATAAAAACAAGTTAGTGATTTAAACAAAAAGTGTCTGGAAATTTTTCAAAAGCATTGCAACAACAACATGTACCCTAATCAGAATTCGTGGCTAGCCTTTGTCGAAGAAGCGTACTCTCTCTTCGATGATAATTCGGATAAACTGTTTAATAATCTATGTACCGAGTGTCTGGAGTATGAGTGTGAACATCGAAATAACAACAATAACAATGCGCAAGCAACAACCCAAGCAAATTTACATGAACAACAATTGGAATTCGTCGCTGAAAATTCGACGCAATTGCATAAGAAATCATTGAGCAGCAATATGGATCCTAATCAGTACTATGCACTAGTGCCCTCGGAACTACAACAACAAGAGCAAAATGTAACTTTTGCTGATTACGGATTTCGCAGCACTTGCCATGGCGCAGACGGCGGCAGTGGTGGCGGGTGCCACAAAGGCGATTGCGCTTTGGAGCAACATCAGCCGCAGCAACCGCGAGCGATGACGCAGCATGCCGTCCAGCAGCAACAGCTACCGCATATCACTATGCCGCCACAGTTGCAACATTCAGCGCAGCCACGCAATTATGGCTACCAACGTGAGGAGCCAACCTATGGTGTAACTGTACATCCACCACGTAACTATCCGGCATTGGAGGCAGTGCCAGGCATAACGTATCCAATCAATCAAACTATGCCTCAAAATGCGTACAACAACCATATTCAGCAACAACAACAACAGTTGCCAATGCACCGACAGCAATCACCAATGCAGCAACAACAGCTGCCAATGCAACAACAACAACATAATGTATCGCAATTCCAGCCACAACAATACCCGTTGCCACAGCAACAACTGCAGCCGGTAAAAATGTTCACGCCGCAGCCGCAGCAGTTCATACAGACTCAATATCAACCAAGTCAACAATTGCAGCCCCAGCAATATCCACAACTGATATACCAACAACAAAATACGAGCACACATGTCAATTACGTCAATCAAATGCCACCGGTGTCGCAGCCCGCCTATCCCGTGCAAAACTACAGAAATGGCGGTCATCCGACGCCAATGCCGGAGCGTTCTGGAGCTTGCTGCCGTCAACAGGCACAGATCGGTGCTCCCGGTGTGAATGTGCAGCGTCAGTTGGGGCATGCGCCTTGCCGCGGCAATGCTCCGTGGTCATATTCATATTGCTACGGCAATGTCCAGAACAATTATGAACCTTGCCACTTTATCGATTGCGTGGACATTGAGGACTTTCTGTAAGTTGTGGTTTCTTCTAAAGCATTACATTCGCCAGTGTCCCCAGTGTCCATAATTGGAAGTCTTGTAAAAAGTGTTGAAATCCAAAGTAATGTAAATTGTGTTGCCTTATGTGTGCCTTTAGGTTGGTGACGTATGTAGTATGATCCATAAGTGGACTGGATTTTGTGGAAATAATAAGGCTTAATTTTGTAATGTTATCATGCCCATACAGTATTTTTGCACTAAGATTCTTTAGTCTACAAATGGAAAACCACATATTTCAAATACTTCGTAGATATAACTTTTGATTCCAGATAACCTAAAATCATTGAAAGTGCTATTGGTGAGGTTGCGAAATTAATTTTCAACAAATTTTGTCTTTATTCGTTGAAAGAGGACTTTACTTCTCAATTACCTACTTAGTCCGAAGTAGCACCTGTTCGCAAGAGTTATTCTGCGTTGGATTTCGAGGCTGACATTCTCGACTTCGAAGTTCTGACTGGCAACAGTGACGTGGGAGCCAAGTCGCGATTGCGACGACTGTTTGTTTGATGACGGAAGATATTTCGCCTTGTCCTCGTACACAACAAGACCCACACGCTTCGCTTCCTTATCCAGTGTGGAGAAAGCAGATCTAACGGCGCTGGTGTTGAGGCCGATGATATTGAAAATGGTACCTTCTCTATTTAGTTCAGCTCGAATTACTTTCTCCAAGAGTAGTTTGAAGGAGTCATATGAAGGGGAGTCGCATTGTCTGAAACTTCGTTTGGTATCGAACGTCTCGGAGAGGTCCTTCCCGCTGTTGACGGACGGTATTGTTCATCGTCAGCTTGCACCTAATGAAGACATAAAGGCAGATCCTTTTCGTGCTGTCAGCAGCATTGAAATCGACGAAGAGGTGGTGTGTGTTGCCCATTGTGAATATCTGGTCAGTTGTCGATTTGCCAGGTCTAATGCCACACTGATAAGTTCCAATTAGTTTGTTGACGGTGGGCTTTAATCATTCACACAATACGCTCGATAGAACCTTATAAGCGATGTTGAGGGAGCTTATCCCACGGTAGTTGGCGCAGATTATGAGGTCTCCCTTTCTGCATGGGCATGTTTTCGTCCGACCATATCCTACAAATAAGCTGATGCATAGTCCCTATTAGGCCTTCGCCGCCATATTTGAATAGCTCTGCCGGCAATACATCGGTCATCGATTGTTAAAACGCGTTCTCCACCTCTAGGTGTTCTGCTTTCACTGCCTTTCAGTAGACTGGAGAAGTGTTCCCTCCATAATTTCTGTACGCTCTGGACATCAGTCACTGGATCACCTCTGGGGGTTCTACAAGAGTGTGCTCCAGTCTTGAAACCTTCTGTTAGTAGCCGCATCTTTTCGCAGACTGCCGATTGCCATGAGACAATGTGGGTCTAAGAATTTTTGATTTCAATTCATTTCATTCACTTTGATACTTTCATAATAATTGTCTTGCGTTTGGCTTGATTGACGATTTTATCAACAAATAATTAAATTATTACAAAATTTTATGTATTCTTTTTTTATACACACACACTAACAAACTTATTTACATTCATAAATATTTTTATTAATTTTTTTTGTTGCTTTTTCTTCAATTAATGGGAGTCATTAGTATGTCAAACACGTTTCCATTAACGTCAATTGCCAATCGTTGTTGGTGTGTCGCATGTGTAATTTGTTTACTGCGAATTCTAATCTTTCGAATAGGCCTTTCATGGCCGCAGATAAATGCGGCTTATGATTTTATAACTCTTAAATAATTTTTTCGCGTGCACCTGACACAAATCAGGTGTCAAAATGTCATAACTATGATTTTAGCTCAGTAATTATGGATTTATATAGAAATAAGGGTAAAAGAGTTCGGCTGCACCGAAGCTATAATACTTTTCACAGGTGAATTTCATTGAATAAAGCAGGGAAACTTGCTGCTACTACTTTCCAGACACGTTGTTTGATGTAAACAACTTTATAGTCGAATTAAATTTGCTTAATAAAGCAAAAGCATATGTTTTATGAAAGTTTTATGCTAATTTGCACCGATCAGTTTGTATGGCAGCTATGTACCTCATGTAGTGTCGAATTGCCGCTATGATTAAGGTAACTCCAAAAAATGCATTCTGAACCCGTCTTCAGATATCAAAATCGTTGAACTCGTATTTGCATGGCCCCAAAATTATTAGTTTAGTATTTATTTAGACTAGTTCCATATTAACTGTATTTAAGATTCTCCCCCGGCTGGCAGGGAGTAGAATTTGCCCGCTGTAAGCTATGCCTGTAGTAAGAGGCGACTAAAATCCAATATGCACTATATCTGTATATTTTGGCTTGCCTCGAAATTTACCATAGTCTTGTCAGAAATGGAAATAGAATGAAAAGACATTTGAAGTTCAAGCGACAAATGTCACCAGTCATTGAGTTTCCTGGGTATTCAACTGGTTGTAAAAACAGCTACAAGATCAGATCGAAGATTTATATCTGGCACCACGGGGAGCAGTTAGCCCTTGGTGCTCGCTCCAATCTGATCATTGGGTTTGGGGAGATTCGTGGTGGCTGTGCTTTAGACCTACAAGTAAGTGGAATCGAAAATCCAGTTCCGACTGCGGTCCCACAGCATGGCACAGGTTTTAGATCTCGTCTCGAACCCGACCAAGATGGAAAAGGTCTCCCTTCTACTTGACTAATTGGAACCAAATACATACAAATACATTGGCTGCGGCCCCTTTAAAGTGTTGTTCAAATATTCGGACACAAGCAACGCTTCATGAGCAGGTGCGTTTTCATGGTGCAAGAACCATTTGTTTTTATTCTTCCAGAAAACTGGGCGTTTCTGGCGGACTGCTTCTTGCAAATTACGCATAATTTGCAGATAATATTCTTTAAAGACCATACGATCCTTTGGCATACATTTATTTCGATTTTTGATTGATTTGGTTTCCCCGTTGTAACCATAAACCCATGATACGTCACCAGTTATGACCCTCTGGAGCAGATATGGGTCGTCGTGGCCTGCGACCAACATCTGCTGGTCAGTTGGCATAAAAATTGATGAGGAATCAAAACAGATAAGAACATAAAAAAGAACGCAACAAAACAATCGAAATTCGAATGCAAAATTTGCAATAGTGCAAGCCTAGTATTTTTTTTACTAACAATCAGAGAAAACTAATGTTTGGAATTATTTTAAAGAAAAGGTCTTGGGGCCCTTAAAAACGCAGTGGCATCCAAAATTGTCTCATAATTTTCCGACGTTTTCTGTCATATAGTGTAATTTGAGTTTCAAACTTATAAAACTAACAGCTAGATCGAATCAGCTGTCTTTCCGGAACAGCTCAATTTGCAACTAGTAGCAACATCAGTTTTCATATATACAACTGACGATATGATATTTTCACAAAAGAAAAAAATAATCACATGTACATCGCAACATTAGAAATGTGGACTCAACGTTTCTAAATGTTTGTTTTTATCTGCTTTCGCGCACCACGGCGCTTTCGCTTGATATGTCATGGCGCGATGCTGTCAGTTGTGGCCTACTGTCTTCCGCCGTTTTCAAAGTTTCTAATGCTTTTAAGTAAATAATAAATAATTTATTGCAATATGCATATTTATACATTTTATCTTTCTATCTGTTTGGCTATCCTATTATGTTGATTGTATGTGTGTATGTATTTTTGCGTTTGTTGCCAACTGCTTGCCGTTAGTTAAGGGCTTACTGACTTCTCTGACTAATTTGTCACATTAATTAATGTTTGTAATATTTATGATGAAGTGTTGTTTTGTTTTGTTCTTTTTTTTGCACGAAGCTTTGTTTATAATTATTACGAGCAAGGCTTTCCGATGTCATCTTATTATATCATAATATTATATTAAAAACACAAACATAAAAACATTTAACAATCATTTTAATAATATACATAATAATGTCTTTTGTGTGATATTGGAAGCTCAATCACAGGCAGACTATTCTTGAGGTTTTTTTTGTAAGTTAGAATTATTTTATTTACTCAACACGCATTAAGACAAGTTCTTTGAATGTTATTTTTTATAAATCGCCTGATACATTTGAGTAACTTCGACTCGTTTTTTTTTTTTTTTTTTGTTTTTATTATTATGCTCTCAATTTTATTGATCTGTTGGACAATATTTTTTAAAAACAAGTAAGGAAATTCTAGGCTCTGTGCTCTTGTAATTTGTAGACATTAACGGTATGCGATATATTTTGTGGTATTTTCAAAACCTGTTTGTTATAAAAAAAAAATTGGCACATAAAATTAATATTCGTTATTAGTCGAAAATGTGACCGAATTAAAATTTCAATACAAGTCTTGACTGAAATGACCTTCAGTGCCTTCAGTGAATTTTACATTTTTCAGTTCAAGTTTATTTTTGGAGCGCCATAAAGGCACGTCTTGTCATCACTAATGATGAATGTAAGGACCTACCGCTACTCGAAGGCGCTTTGGTTAAGCTGTCGTCGAGGTCTTGGATATGATTTTATTTTTTTTTCAGCATATCTGCTTAAGACCTCTCGCTAGATTTCGAAATCATCAGAGCTCCTTTGTGCTTCAGCTTCCTTTATGGGATATTTGGCTCTGATTTTTCGGATTCTGGTTTATTACGTTCATTTTTTACCAGTTCCCATTTAGGTGCCTGTTCTCCCGGGCTGTCAGCCATGTCTCTTTGTCGCATTTAACCATTGTCGTTCCGTCTCTTACTCCCCGAGGTCTCGTTATCATTCCCAAACTTTCTCTTTGCTTGCATCGCAATCATAAACCACGTGAAGTTTGGATCGTGTTTTCCTTCCGTTCGCAGTGGTTTGGTTTAATAGTTCGATGATGGTAAAGGTGTCCCTCATGCCTTGGTGGATAGATAGTGTCCTTCCATCCTCAAGCATAGTTACTAGATTTCCAATCTGCTCGCAGAGTTGGTAAAAGGTTGGCATATTTCCTCCATTAATAGTTTTCTTTGCCATTGGAGTTAAATTCTCCTGCT